TAGAAAACGTGTGTCGGTGGCAATTATGAGATATTTTCAAAGGGATGAATGGTGGTGGAGCAGGTGGGAGTGGCATGTGATGTATGGCTAAAGTAACTTAAAAATATATATATATAAATTATTATATATTTTAAATTTCTTTTATGTGTTTTATATTAAAAATTTATTTTAAATTTTATAAATTTCTCTCCTTCTATAATATTAAAATTTCATATTTTTAACATAAAATTTTACGTATATTTTAATTATTAATGTATTAACATATTAAATATAATAAGTCTTAACACATTTATATTGCATTCGATTGATTTTTTAATTTTATCATATTTAGAATTTAAATTAATTTTTTAAGTAATTTTCACTCAGTCATATAATTTAATTTAAATAAAAATAAAGAATATATATTATTCATTTTGAATATATATTATTTACTATTCCAGTTTTTATTCATCTCTATATGACCGAGTATAAATAACATATAAACATAAATATTATTAATAATTTGATTTAAAAATTAAAATTTTAATATAATATTTTTTCGGATTGCCAATGAACATTTCGAGTCAAGTATTAAATAACTCGCTTTGTCTTGTTAAAAACTTAAATTGAATTTGAACCCGTTAAATCTATTCAATTCAAATATTAACTAAACTTTAACCGAGTCACTCAGCACAGGCCATTACTGGAAAATTACAAGCCCCTGCAAGCCTCGACGTCACTCGCCTGTGCATCGAGTAGGGCTTGACCCGAAGGATGTGAGCTAATGACCTTCATTGCTGCATCAAAACAAACTTCTGGTACAGATCATCTTCCATCTTAAGGACTTCCCTCACCGCCTTCGTATCTAACCCCCCAGCCAGAACAAGCTTACCGATTATTTCTCCGAAATTATTCGGTGCTTTCGGTAAATCGATGCCGATATCATCCAACAAGGCACCGTAGAGCAGGCATCCCGTCCCTATGTCGCTAGCTGTAACAACTTTCTTGATAAACAAGTATTCCAGAAGTTTGGTAACAGGCTCAACGCATGGCGGCCTTTTATCCAAAGCAATGGAGGATGATATGATGGAGATTTTAGTTCCTCCACACACTGCAATGCGTCATCCAGCAGCCTAACACTGAAATATTCCTCCAACAGTGACCCTGTTTTTATCCGAAGATAATCTGGATTTGTACTTGCAGCAGGAGCTACTGGTTTCACTCCAACTTGAGATATAGCAACCGGAGGCACGGGTTTCACGGAAAGAGAAGGTCGTGTGACAGGCTCGGCACTCAAATTTAGGCCACCACCACCGCCTCGAGGCAACAGCCTTGAATTCAACGAAGTTGATTTATTGATCAACGAAGTTCATTTACACACCCTCGAGCCTGTATGCCTGGTTCATTACCCCTAGGCATTGTCTGGTTCTTGGGAACCTCCCAATTATTGTTGTCCATTCCGGACATACCAGGCATTCTCCGAGCCCCGGCAATTCCACGGATCAAACCCCCACTACCAGGACCAGGACACACTGGACCCCCACTACCAGGACCAGGACTCACTGGACCAACAGAAATACGACAATTTCTAATGCTTGCAGTAGCCCCAGGGCGCAGCCCGAGATTCTTTTCAGCCTCGAAATGAATTTCAGTAATTGTTTTGGCTTTCACCTGCCAGAAAAAACATGTCGATGTCGAAAAAATATCAAAATGGACATGGCAGCAGCATCTAACCAATCTACCACAGAAAAAGTAATGGCACCCTCACGCCTGGGAACCCAATTGTTTGCACGAAGATCACGAACATTGCGAACCATAAATCGCAGTCTTGGCACAAGCTGAGGATTCGTCACCAAATCCTTTAATCTCCCGGAGTATATATCATTCATGCAACGTCATTTCGGGTTCTCATCAAGCAGCTTACCATAGTAACGAAGAATTGACAAATGGATTCAACATTCTCATCTGCAGGGCAAGCTTTAGCATCATGGCCCAAAAGTTCCTGTTTAGCAGAATAGGCAAAAAATAATTTATAACATAAATTACTCAAAATTCAAGTTCCATTGATAAGAAAAGTATCAACAAACCTGCACAATGTGATGAACTATCCTCTCGGGAACCATTTTCTGCTTTAGAAGTTCACCGATTAAACGAATGTTACCTAGAGTACGGAGCTTGAGCATCCTTTCCTTATCCCTACGCTCCACTTCTTGCTCGGGGGCAATCATCAACCTCAATTCTTTTCCACCAGGTTCATCAGACGGGAATGAAGGAAGCTTATCGTTAAGATTTGAACACAAAAGAGCATACATGGGACAAAATGTAGGTTCCAAAACAGCCTTATCAAATATTAGAGAAATAACCCCCTGCAAAGACAACATAGATACCATCAGTGACCATATCTTACAAATGCAGTAACTAGAAAAGAACGCAACATGGATGAAAAGGTAGTGAAGCGTCTACCTGTGTGTTATAATCGAAAACATGCATAAACATTACTTTATAATAATGTCAATGACGATAAAAGAAAATGTGAAAAACAGCAACCTTCAAGATATCAGCTGATGTGATGCCAGAATCTATAAGTTGGACCTTCAGGAGATCATACTTCTCTGGTGTCAGTTTGTTCAGTATCCTGCACAACGACTAATTTCATAAATTCACCACAACGAAATGGACAAATGTTATGATTTAGGATGAGAATATAGAAGAAATTTAGGGATTTCAGAAATAGAGAGACTTAGATATAGAAAATGTGCTTTCATTCATAAGATAATCCTTTAAAGGATCGGTACAAATTATATATATACAGTACCAGCTGTCAAAACAACATCTCTAACAAAATAACCGCCCAAAGCTGACTCACCATTCCCACTTCTCTCCTAATACTGTTCTAACAGACTCAAGCCCAACAGTAATTAAAATTGGGTTATCATAATAAACCCACTAACACCCCCCCCCCCCGCATATACCTTCAGCCGCATCCCTAATCTTCACTTCGATTCCCAATTCTTCAGATAGACATCAATCCCTAGCCCCCTGTGCAATCCCTAAATTCATTCGATTCTTCCCCCAATTTCTGTTGTTGCCTCCCAATCTTCTCTTCGAAATTTCCCCCAAATCACCACGATCAAACCCTAACTTCCCTGCCATCATAACAATAAACTCATCTTATCATGCAAGCATGACAAAATAAAAACATCTTAAGCAAGTATCCTGTGTTTCTGGATTGCCTCTAGAAATCAGGGACAGACAATATAACGGAAGGAACTCGTTCCAAATATTTTTACCCTTTTACAGTCTTCAAAACTCGCTCCTTCTCAGAAAGATTCCCCCTTCTAGCTGACCATGGCACCTCGGCTTTGACCAAAGCTGGAGCTGGTCCTCCCTGGTTCAACAAAGGAAACTATTAATGTCAGCCAAATGATAGACATAGCTTGCTGCAGGGATAAACTTGGCTCTTAGATGCATAAATACAAAGCTAATATGAGCCCTATAAATGACAGTCTCTTGAATTATCATTATTCTAAAATAAAAGAATCATCAATATCGGTGCCAGAGCCAAGCAATCGGTATGCTTCATAATAATGCACATAAAACAATGAACTGAAGATGATGAGTTCACAAACAACATTAAAGAAAATCTTATGTTGGCAAATACAGTTAAGTGTCTTTCTATGTCAATTACCCCTTGGTTAGAAGAGATTTGTGCCCTTGAGAACTGTGAGTTGAGCTGATCATAACTATTTAATTGATTAGCATCTGGCTGTCTGGAGTTATATCGGTTTGCCAATTCTCTACCCCAAAGAGATTCCCGAGACCTCTTCTCTACAGCAGGAGGAAACTCTGCTGAACAGTTATGCCAATCACGATTATCAGGTTCAGCGTAACGGTTCTGACTCTGATTTAGCGGCTAGCAAAAGTTTAGACAGTAGGGCAACAAATAACAAAGAATGATTGTTTTTAAGAATGTTTAAAGCTTACGTTGCTTTCTCCATGGCCCGGTTCAGATATTCACCAAAGAGTTCCACTTCAACATCTCATTTGATTTTAAGAATCTCATCAGCAACTTCTAGGGCCTAAAAGTGAAGGCAAACGATACAATCAGATATTATATCAAGTAATAACCAAAACGCCATAGGTTTCATCTAAATATAAGTGAAGCAGAGTATGAAAAGACACGGAATATCCAATGCATGATAACACGTCTAATTGAACAGAACGAAAAGAATGTTGAAGAGTATCTTTTAACGCAAATAAAAGCATACTCGTTCTTTTCAGGCTTAATTTTGGAAGTAAAACGCAACAATAGTTTGCTTATGCACAATGGCAAGGATGAAGGATCTTACGAAGCACAAATATGAACAATTATCTCCCTAAGCTGCAGAAGCCGGTTCCTGGTGTATTGCGCGCATTCACGACCACCATATTCACCAGCCTACAAAAGTTAAGCAATTGATAGCTTCATATATACGACCTGGCAATATTTTTAAAATGCAGCATCTTAAACATTGATATAAACTGTATAAAGAATATACCAGAAAACAGAAGATACAAACTCTAAGTTGAGCTTAAGAACTTAAGAAGCGGTTAACAAAACAAAAGATTATTTATCCAACAAAAAATAAAGATAAGATCCACAAAATCTTAAGTAATATCCAAATTAAAGGAAGTTACATGGTTCAAATCTATAAATCTTCTGCACTTCACAATCCCCAATATACTTATCTATTGGTGGAGGTGCACAAACACTTCATGCACTTGACAAAGTTCAACTTGTTCATTGACTACTTTGGTGCACCAGAAATCAAATCATATATAAAAAAGATTGAATCCTCGAACGCCCCCATAACGTAAGGTGCTCGAAAATGGTTGAAGTAGTGAATTTACCAAAGGCTATAGTCATAGCAATCCTCCTATTCACTACTTCAACCATTTTCGAGCACCTTACGTTATGATTTTCTTATACATCACCATGTTCAAAGATCAATGAAAAACCTCCATTTGTTTAAAAATCCATAAGATGTTTGCAGGTCCTTTATGGGCAATCAAAAACTCACAGAATACCCACCTAAAGACTGCATGGTTTTCTGTTTGTCCATATTTACAGCAAGTACGCATACTAAATGTGTCCCACCAAGAATTAGGACAAAGTTAACCATATTCTTCCTCTTCCGAAAAAAGGCCAAAAAGCAACTAACTAAGGTTTGCTGTGAGTTTCAAAACTCCCTGATCAAGTTTCAAAACTTTCAATTAAAGAAGGTTTGGCAGTTTCGATACTTATACAAGTTTGAAACTTTAGGGATGAGTTTCGAAACTCTTCCCTCTAATTTCGAAACTCTCTATTGTTATAGTGGAAATTTACTCTTTTAGTCCCTAGATTGATGGTATGTTGATGATTGGTCCCTATGCATGATTAATAAGAAATAAAATGAACTTTAAGGTATTATATGATAATAATGGCATGTTTAATGGTTAAATTAGATATGAAGTAAAAAGAATAAGTGTAGAATCATTTGTAAGTTAAACCCTCGACTTTCAAATAATTTCAAATTAGTCCCTAATCATTGTTTAAGGTTTTTAATGTATTAATAAGACTGTAGAAGTATAAGAAAATCATGGTGATGTATGTTGAAACTTGGAAGTATGAATTTAGTTTATAAAATTTCATTTATAAGTAACTTTACGATCAAGTACCCTATGGGTTTATGATTGATATCATGCGATATGATTCTTATGAAAGAATAATTTACATGTTCTAAGTTTATTATGAATTAAATCTATCTTTAAGTGACATGTCATGATTATTCAGTATTAAGTTTATTAAAGTTGTTAAAAAGTGGCTATTTACTTATAGATTCTTAAACTTTTGAAAAGTTTCAATTTGATACTTAAACAAGATAACACCATGTGAATTAATGAAGTCTGATTGTGATAGTCATCATACGAACTATAAATTTACTGTTTGACAAGGCTTGTTAAATGAAGGATTCTCATAGTTATAATATTTTCAGATAAGTCCCTAAACTTTTAAAAAATTTAATAAAGTCCCTAAGTATGGAATCAACTGTGATTTGATTAGTGAGTAATATTGAGGACTTGGTTCTATTTGATGATTCCAAGCAATATTATGTATGTTCAATGATTGTTTCATTATGGTTTAAGTTTCGTTAATACTCCCGATCCGATTTCCATCTAGACCAAGTTGAGGATATTACATTTTCTCAATCTTCCATGTAGGTTTATATATTGACCCTTAATGCTAGTGTCAGACCTAGGGTAACGATGACTATCCATAGGCTAACAAACCAATAAATACGGCCTCCTAACAATAGATTTGACCCTGGTAGATCTTGTGGGTCTGTCAAAGGTCTTGTCAAAGACCTTTGACTGGCCAGAAGACTGTTGATCTCTAAAGCCTCTACTTAGAGAAGGAGTTCCTCCAGAGGCCTCATTTTTCTAGAGGTTTTGATTGGCAGAATTGAGGTTTGCAAAGAAAATCCGATGGAGTGTTGTTTATCTACTGGTGGAGGTGCACAAACAGTTCATGCACTCGACAAAGTCAACTTGTTCATAGACTTATTATTTGTAGCATAAGAGGACCCACAAGTAGCAATATAACCATAACTTACTCTCTTCTATCTAAGAGAAGTGGACTTAAAAAACTTCATTAGTGGGCTTAATTCATTACTTCATGCCCATTTATTGCTTAACTACTTAAAGTTAGCAATTTTATTTGAAATTAAAACAAGCAACTAAATCCTTTTGAAAATACTTCAACTCCAATCCCAATAATCAATATAGCAAAATTATCATCCAAATATAACCATTGAAACAAAGCTAAGAAGAATGACCTAGTCCAATGTTCAAAGATCAATGAAACACCTACATTTGTTTCAAAATACATAAGATGTTTACAGGTCCTTTATGGGCAATCAAAAACTCACAGAATACCCACCTAAAGACTGAATATTTTTTGTTTGTCCATATTTACAGCAAGTACACATACTAAGTGTCCCACCAAGAATTAGGACAAAGTTAACCATATTCTTCCTCTTTCAAAAAAGTCCGAAAAGTAACAAACACCAGCGGTTTTTTATTGGTCACGAACAAGATAAATTGGGCAGATGCAAAGTTTACTACGAAGAGCGCAAGGTACTAATTTAGAGCTTTCCAGACGGAAAACAAAAGTAGTGTTTATCTCAAAAGTTATGAAGTCAACAACTGTAATGATAAAATCAAATGTACTTTCCAAGATTCAAGCTTCAAAAGAGCATTACAAATAGGACTGTAAACAAGACAGACATGTCGCTGAATATTCGAGTACAACTCGGTTAAAGCTATGTTAATATTTGAATTGAATGAATTAAACTCGAGTTCGAACTAGACTAAAGTTCTTAACGAGCTGAAGTAACCTACTTGATATCCAGCCCAAAAAGTTGACCAGAAAATGGAAGAAAATAATATATTAAATTTTTAATTTTTAAAATTAATTTGTTAATAATATTAATATTTATATGTTTTTTAAATATAATTTAAGATTTTCTGTATTAAAGTTCAGATTTGAGCTTTAATTTGAGTTTCAATCGGATTAAGCTTGAGAATGTTTCGAATTCAAGTTTTTTCAAGCCGTCAAGCTTTAATTTCTTATTTCGAGTTCACAAACTCAGCAACGCACAATCTAGACTTGACTTGTTTATAACCCTAATTACCAAGCAGCGACTACGCTAACAATTTAAAAAGAAAACACATCTGAACCGGAAGCAAAACAGCCCAAAGGCGAGTATAACCGAAATAAAATCAAAATCAGAAAAGCGAGAGTAAAGAACAAAACTGAGACATAGGTTTTTGAAGAGAAAGAGATAAAAAAAAAAGATTGAACCTTTACAGAAAAGGGAGCACCGCCCAGAGGAAGCTCGGAAGAAAAGGAACCAAAGGCTAAAGAAGAAGAAGAAACAGGACCAGCAATGAGACTGTTCCCTCGACCACCTCCGGGTCTTAAGCTCAACACCGTCTGATTACTATGCTTCATTTTCTCCCGTATTATTCAATCTCCGATGAATGAAATCAGGCTTTACTCTTGGAGAAAGAAGAGATGAAAGTGAGTTATCCTCTCAGTGTGGGAGAGGCAGCAAGCAGTGAAGTGAATAGAGATACCCTATATATTACAAAAACCCTTGAAGCTTTATCTCTTTCTGGATAAAGATTCATTTACTCCTTTACATTGTTTATTTTTCTCATATTAGTTATTGAATTTCGTTTTTGTTCCATATTAGTCATTAAATTTAGCTACTTTTCTCATATTAACCCCTGAATTTTAATTAATACTTCAAAAATCCTTAATCTGATTTTATTTCCACATTAACTTATTTTTTAAAATATCTCATGAAATCATTTTAACTTTAAAAATTTATCCAAAAATTAGTAAATTCGAACTGACTACTCACATTATATTATTAATCCAGATTTTTGTTGTTACAACTATTTTGTGATAAAAAATCTAATATCTTTTAAGATAAAGTACACAAAAGGTCATTCGACAATAGAGTGTTGCTTTGTTGAGTCATTCAACTATTGAAAGTTATACAATGGTCTCTCGACTATAGGGTATTACTTTTTTGAGTTCTCCGACTATTAAAAGTTACAAAATGGTCACCCGACTATTCATATATTCTAAATTCGTCATCTTCTATTAAAAAATTGGCAGCATCTGAGTTGGACGCTAACCTGCTGACTAGATATAATAAAATATGATCATAGAATCTCAAATGACTATACAACTCCAACAATTTTAGGATAAAATTGTATCATATATCAGTCAGCAGGTTAACGTTCAACACATACCATAATCAATTTTTAACGAAAAATGATGAGTTTAAAACATGTGAATAGTCAGATGACCATTTTGTAACTTTTAATAGTCGAATGATTCAACAAAGTAATCCTATAATCAGAGGACTATTTTTGTAACTTTCAATGATCGGGAGACTCAACAAAATAGCACCATATAATCGATGGGTCATTTACCCTATTTTTATTCCAATCACAACAAGAACATATTAATTTTAAAGTAAATAAACATTAAAGTTCATAATTGTTAAATAAAGTTTAGAGTAGATAAATTTCTATATAGTATATATATGAATAAACTCAATGATTATATATCTTTTATTCCAACTTTTAGATGCTTCTTAAGCATCATACTAGCGATATTTTTGTTTGTTTGTGTATGCATATTGAATGTTTAAGTGTCAAGCATGCCCTATTGCTAAACTAGTCTGTGATTACTATAATCTTATTCTAATTTCTTTATCCTATAAGTTGTAATCTCTGAGGTAATTTTATATTTTTAAAATTGTAAATTTCTCATTGCATATTGATAAGTGCATGAATTCTTCGAACAATGGCCACGTCGTTGGGCTGGGGAATAGATTTAAGGATGCGAACAGCTTCATTGCTGTCGGTTTCAACTTCAACATGTCTAGCACCACTCTCCCAAGCTAACACGAGACCGTCCATGATTGCCCACAGCTTGGCGTGAAGGGCAGAGCATCGACCAATATTACGTATAAATCCCATCTTCCATCTACCGTCGCTATCCCTGACAACACCAACACCGGCAGCAGCCACGGTTCCATGATTGACAGCACATCTGTGTTAATCTTCAACACACTGTGAGTGTGTGTGTGCCACCATTGAGAACGCCTTTGTAAAGACCTACAAGGATTAAGAGAATAGCGAGTACATAAAACCTTCGCCCATGTGATCGAGGAATGTATGATTTCCAGCAAGGTAAACTTTATTTAGATGATTAAAAAAAAGATCCATTCTATAATGATTTATGAAAGGTTTCGTTGGTGTTAATTTGGATCGATTTCGTGAGGTAAAAGCGGTAAAGGTAAGTGGTTGTCCGTTCTTTTGTAATGAGCATTGGTAATGTTAATTCAAGGTTAGAATGATAAGTATTTAGTGAGATTGATAGTGAGTTAATGATTTGAATTGACATTGGATTTATTTTACAAACATTTTATTATATTGATTAAGCATGATATTACATGAGCATGATGATACCTTGTGATGCATATACAATTTGGAAATTACGTTTACAAAATTATTATTAATTTAGTA